TGCAGAAGTGTTGATCTGCCACTAAGAATGTAAGCAGTTAGAGCTGGAGACAGTCATCTATAACCTGTCCTCTGCTACATTAATCCTATTCCATTTTAGCTAAGGGCAGCCTTGATGTTCATTATCCTGCAGGAAGATAGGGCTTACTTGCCAAATATATGCTTTTGCAGTAGTTATTATGCTTCTAGATATTTCTTCATTATTTCCTGTTGCACGGTCCCACTGTATTTTTTTAAAGAATCATTTATTTTTTAATGATTCTGTGATTCTGTGATTATTTTTTTTTTAACTCTGTCATTGGTTTGAAACCTCTCACTACAATTTAATGATGAAGAATAAAAGCAGCAATAGAGTAATACAGTTATGGCAAATGTCTTTGACTGCTTCAAATCAATTTTTTTTCCTCAATTACAGACCAGTAAAGTCAGTGGGTTTTATAAATTAGAACTCAAAATGGATATCATAGTAGATAATGGAGTTTTTGCATTCTTGTTTTAAATAGCGATTTTATTACCCGCTCCTGCACAACCTATAGACTATCTTTTTCCTTTATCTTTGCCCAGGAGGGCTTGGCTGGCAGTCTTAAATTTTAATTCTGCCTGGAGCAGAGAAACTGTTTTGCACATGTTTTTGTGCAGCACACACAGCTCGGTTGCCAGTTGTGAGACTTTCCAACTACTCCGGAGTACAACCTGGTATAAAACCCACAGCCCCGGCCGCATCTGGAGCTTCACTGTGCTTGGTGCTGTAGAAACAGAAAGGGAAGACTGAGAACTCACAACCAAAGAAGCTAGAGCAGACAAGTGCCAAAGGGACCAAAGTGCAAAGTATGCAGTAACAACTAAGGGGTAAGGGAGAAAGGCGGTACTCAACAGTTCTGCCAGCCCAGTCTCCTTTCACCAGGCTGCATTGCCTACCTAAAAATGTCACGCGGAAGAGTCTCATTAGTACTTTTCTGATGTCAAAAGGAAAAATGGTCACGAAACTATACCACTCAAAGCCTGACCCATCCCTCAAGGGGCTGTGTTTGTTTCAAAATCACTCATAAGAGCTAGGAGTGCATAGCTCCTTCATGTACATAGTCCTGGGAAATAATAGATATTATTGTTTGGCCTAATAATGACATCGAGCTACTTGAAGTACCTGGAGTTATAAATGGTCCCGTATCATGCAGCGAATTCTACTATCTTCTTTAATTTGACAGGAGTAAGAACCTGGCTGTAACTGGGCAGAGAATACTGATGCTCATACCAGCAGAAAACCATCTTCCCCAACTGATGTTTTCGGTGATGCCTTATCAAAATGTTTCTACCTGGCTCCTGTTGTTGTGTATTGTATGAGTTTGGCTTCCTGGGCCCACTTTAAAGTAACTGTTACTGTTTATCTCTTTCTAATTCTTTCTATAGGAGTTGTTTTTCTCTAAATTTTGTAGCACTTCTATGACTAAAGTAGCAGGGAAATATACAAGTGTATGAACAACAGACTGTCTTCATCTTTTCATCCAAATTGCATCAAGAGGCTAGTCTGTGGAAACAGCTAATGATCCAATCAGCATAAGAACATATTACAAATTAGAATTCTAATAGACAATCTCTAGGTGCAGATTTATCATCTAATTATACAGTTGGAGAAATGGAATTTTTTATATGATTGCTTTTTCTGTTGCTGTAGCCTCTTGCAATGATCTCTTTAGCATTTTAATTCCTAGCTGCATTCAACAGACAGGGCTTTGAATGAACGTGACTTGACAGGGTGGCCTTCAGTGAGGAAGGCAGGAAGGTGTCAGTGAGGAAAAAAGTAAGCTACAAATAGGTACAAAGGGACTACAAGCCATGGGATCTCTCTGCATTCTTCGTTAACATGATGTTGGCAAGCTGTTTTCATGTAGTTCATCATCTAATGCAATCTGTATGTGATACAGTCCCCCAGCAGTTCAGCTGACAAGCAAACTGAAATGACAGTAAACAATGAATCAACTACCCCCTTTCAAGGGCTTCCTTGAATGTGTGGCTTCTGTATGGTTTGAGTTCCTGCTCTACAAATGAAGTACCAGTCTGCTTTCATTACCAATAAAATCAGGATTACAAATAGCTGATATAGCACAGCTATACTTAGTCATATACTTGTTTGTGCCATGTTATGAAAAAGAAATACTGTTAGCTGTGAAACAAGGACCAAAACCACAAGTACTTGTCCCACCATTGTGGTGGGTTGATGTTGGCTGGATGCCAGATGCCCACCAAGCCAACACCTCACTCCCCTCCTCAGCAGGACAGAGAGGGGAGAAAATAAGATAGGAAAAACCTTATGGGTCAAGATAAAGGCAGAAAGCAAAAGCAAAGGCCATGGGCGGAAGCAAAGGAAACCGAAAGATGTGCTCTCTACTTCCCATCAGTGGTGATGCTCAGGCACTTCCCGGGAAGCTGGGCTTCAGTACCTGCAGCGTTTGCTCTGGAAGACAAACATCGTAATAACAAATGCCCCCTCCCCCCCACCCCTTTCTCTTCGTTTTTATTGCTGAGCAGACGTCACATTGTATGGAATATGCCTTCGGTCATTTCCAGTCAGCTGTCCTGGCTATGTCCCCCCACCAAGATCTTGCCCACCCCCAGCCTATCGCTGCGGGGGTAACGTTGGAGACAGCCCAGATGCTGTGCCCCACGGCCCAGCAGCGGCCAAAACATGGGTGTGTTATCAACACCCTCCCAGCTACCCGTACACAGCACAGCGCTGTGAGGGCTGCTGTGGGGAAAATTAACTCCCCCTCAGCCAGACCTAACGCAAACACGTATTACGAGTTGCATCTGATGGAAAG